ATATATATATATATATATATACATACATATATATATATTAATCACTCCCTAACTTGTGTGAGTGAGCTCTCCTTTACTTCTTAACATCTTTAAAGAACACAATTACAACTTTTCCTGACTTCTCTTCATACACTAAATTTCTTAAGTAAAAATTATTCTATTGGTCTATCTTTGTAACCTTTCAAAAGAATTGATATCCTTTCTATAACAACAGTATCAAAACTGGAAAGGGTATTCTAATTGTTGACCATCAGATCTAACACAAGGTAATAAACATTTTTAGGCTTATAAATTTTGGACATACTCTTGACCACAACTAACTTTTTACCACAAGCTCCTATAAAAAAATCACAACAAAGTTTTTTCTTACATAACTTCTTGTTCCTACTTCACAAGAAGTCTCTTCCACATTCTCTTACCTGAAGTGCATCGCTTTAATTTTTCTCAATAATGAAACTCATTTTCTGCATTCTAACTTAGATACCAATAATGTAGTTACAAATAAATAATACTGTTCATATCCTTCTAAATAAAATAAACAATCAAAAGTATCAGAGTGGCTCTCTTTTGTCTTATAGATAATAGTCTTTTTCTGTTTGAAACCACTATTCCACCTGCCAGGGAAACAGTTCTGGCTGACAGACTTCATCCATCAGCAGCACGTCCATTCTTTCTTGACTGGTCTCAGGTCATCTTGACCCAAATTTTGGTTATGTAATTCTGGTTTGCAACAGCTTGGGAGTCCTGTAGAGACTTCCCCCATCCAGTTTTGAACTCACCAAGAGCCATTCAGCCTTGGTGACCTTCAGTCGTCTATGCTTCGCTGATCTTTAGGGGAATGCTTCATCTGCCTTTTTGGTTGCTCCAGGTGCCAACTGATCATCCTGAGTCTGTTGCAGAGAGATCAAAGTCAAGGACCTTTGCATCTCTGGCAAAAGACTGTTGTCCAGAAGAGAACTTCTCCTAGAATTAACACCTCTCTTGTATAACCATCTCTCTTTGACACCTAACTCTCCTCTTAGTCGTAGGTACTTCTACTTTCTCCTTCCTACCTACTGTGTGGTATTTTTAGGTGAATCTGATCTTCTCAAAGAGTATTTAGTAAGTTTGCTATATAATGGGAGGATCAGCAGGATATATTATGAAGAGATATTCAAGTTAACTAAAACTGAGTTTGGGTGGAGAAACAAAACAAAACAGACTGGATACCATACGTAACATACAACAAAAACAATAGTTATTATTCAAAGACACAAAACATGTGTATAATTGCTTATGGATGCTGGGCAGTCAAGTTTCCCTGGACTTACGAGTTGATTATACAGGAGTCTTCCGTCAAAATGTATTCCCCCTAACCAATTTACTCAAGATCCAGTACGTGAATCTTTAAACCTAACATTTTTTACTGAACAGGAAAGTCAGATTTGCCCATAGTGACAAGTGCTATCCACATGATGATCATTCTCATTCAAACAGACAGAAGAACTTAACCTCAAAATATCACCTGACCTACCATTGAAGAACAGTGTTATTGACCTTCATGCATCAAGTGCAGCAATATAGTCATACTTCATGGGCATAATAGGTGTGGTTTGAATAGAGCAACAAGAAATAAAAGCAGCTAGAACAAAACAAACTTAACAAGTTTCTTGACAATTTATTATGCAAAAACTTCATGGATTCTACAATAAAATGAGATGGTAGAAAACTCACGGTATGCCTGTATACCACAAAAGCTGAAAAATTATGCATTATGACTAAAATACCAAACCTTTCAAATATACTAAACAATTTCACATTTGTAAGTTTTTTTCTTTGTCATTCTTTCAACACATAATATTCCAAATGTAACCAGTTCTCCTACTGTAAGTACTTAACTAGGGGAACTCTGCAAGTGTATATACTTCTGCTATCAAAGATATAAATATACCGTGAATGTAATTACCACACTGACCAGTCATTAATCAGATCAAAATTAAGATGTAACAATAACTTTACATAAAACAAACATTACAAGCAAACTAAAATAAAATTTACCAATGGTTGATGGAGACAATACTTGGCATAGGGAGAATCAGTACAACTGCAGCTGTATCCAATTGTCTGAGGCTAAGTCAGTTAGTGCAGACTCATTTCAAAACTTATCCCCATGTGCATGATTTTGTTAACAAGGGGGACAAAATTAATATTTATTTTAACAGTGAGAAAGCATAAAAAATAATGTTCTCATAAAATTAAAATGGAAACTGACATTCATTTTGACAAACGAGTTAACGATAACTATGGCTGTACATTAGATGGTGTAATATGAGCAACAATACTCACTCTATTGCCCCCCAGTAGCTAAGCGGTAAGCCTGAAGGCTTATAATGCTAAAAAGTGAGTTTTGATACCCGTGGTGGGCACAGCACAGATAAACTATTGTGTAACTTTGTCTTTAACAACAAACTTTCAATATTTAGTAACAGCACATAAATAACTAAAGCACTGATACAGCACTGCTGTAACATAAACAATGAAAAACACTTATGAATTAGCGAAAAAATAATATTATAGTGAAACCATATGATTGATTAAACTGGGAGAATAAACTTTTTAACATGTCTGCAAACACTGAGTGAGAACTCAACATATAATGTAGAAGTCAGTTTATAGATATTATAGAAATAGATGCAACTATATATTTTTTCATATACCATGCTGTATTAAGTTTTCATCACAATGTTTAAAAGCAACAATTGAAATTTTCATGGGAATATATTTTCACAAGTATATGCACATAATGATCATTTACTTAAATACCAGTAACTTCTGAAGTTGTTGAGAATATGATGAAAACTAACTTTTAGCTATTATAATGCATTTAAAACAAGGAAATGATTACAACTTGACTGTATGTTAAACAACTGACAGCATCAGACAACAAAAAGGCATTTTTAACACCTTAAGCTACTAGGTGCAATTTTCTTAGGGGACCCATCCATACTGATCAGCTATAAGTATGGAAATTTATGTTTTTTCCATTATTTGGAGGCCTGTCGGTGCACTGCCCCAATGTTAAATACACCACCGAGGTGATAAATTGTTCAGAATTTAGTACCACATAGATCACAACTGAAAATAACCTGATGTTTCAGTTTATATTAAAACATCAACAACTACCTATACAGTGTACACACAGAACCACATACATTACAACTGAAAATAACCTAATGTTTAAGTTTATATTAAAACATCAGCAACTACCTATACAGTGTACATACAGAACCACATACATCACAACTGAAAATAACCTGATGTTTAAGTTTATATTAAAACATCTAACAAGTACCTATACAGTGTACACACAGAACCACATACATCACAACTGAAAATAACCTGATGTTTAAGTTTAT